GTATGGTGGATTTAAAAAAAAAAAACTGATCTCCCTATTCATCAGTGGCGTAGCCAAGGGGTGGGGGAGGGGGAAAGAGGGGGAGGCAGGGTCCCAGATTTCATCCTCCCCCACCCCCCTGAGGTGGCTAATAAGGTTCATTGACATTTCTAAATGTCGATTATTGCTTGAATTCAGCTCAATTAGTTCGTAGTTTTGACTGGCAAAACTATGGGCGACTTCCATTCCGAGAAATGTTTGCTTCGCTGTTGTTCTTCTAAAATCACTCAAAATGGATGTTTTGAGTGACGCGCCCCCCTCCCCCTTATATCACAAAAAAAATTTTTTTTTTTTTAGATAATTGAATGGATGTATACTTGTACAAGTACAAGTATTTCTAACTCTATCCAAATCTGCACTTTTTTACCTCGCCACAATGAAATTCTCTCCTTCAAACACCTTAAAGCTAATCATGATTTTCTCCACAAATCTGCAATTCACGCTTTCCCTCGTCTTTGGGAAGACCTTCCTAATGATCTTAAGAATTCTCTCGTCCTTGATTCCCTTCCCATATTCATTTCTAGACTCAAATCACACTTGTATACACAACATCCCTCATCTGAATAAAAATGATCTCATAACTGTAATAATGTTGTTGCTATGGTGGTTATGTAATTGCAACTACTATAACAACAATAACAACAATAATCGTAATAATTATAATAATGATAATAATAATAATAATAATAATAATAATGATGACTATTATAATATTAATAATATGATAATGATGATAGTTATTATTTTTGTTATGATTGTTATAATGAAGATAATGGTAATTGTAGTTATAATGGTACATAATGGTGATAATAATAATAATAATAATTATAATTATAAATAATAAATAATAAAATAATAATGGGAATTTTGCTGTAATGATGGTAATAATAACAATAGGTCTTGTAGAATAATTATAATTATTATTGTTATTACTGTACTTAAATGGTGATTGTGATGACCTTGTTTTTTGCTTTTAATGACTGTTTTTGCATTTATTCTGTTTTTTTTTTTGTTTGTTTTTTTTTTTAAATTTATTTATTCTTTATTTTATTTTTTGCTTGCTTTTTGCTTGATGTTGTGATGTGTTGTCTATTATATTTTATTTTACATTTTAATGATTTTTTTTTTATACTGGATGGGAGTGGTTCTCAAACAATTGTTATAGTAATTAAGTTTACTCTAGAGACCAGGCCCTCCCATCAAGATTATTCTATTGTGCAATAAAGAATAAGGATACACAATTCCATAGAAAGGTTGATTCTATGTCATATCGCGCAATACATAGCTACAAAGACAGTTTAAGTGCAGATGCACCATGCCAGCATGGAAACCTTTGTGCAATGGTGCAATCAATCACTCTCTATCGAGGTCAGCAGGTATGTGCAACCCCATGCACAGTGACCACAGTACACTGATATGTGTGCACATCTCCATTGACGACATCCTAGCCTGGGTTCCAGGCCCTAATTTTATGTTACTCACTCTTTATTGACTTAGTGCGCGCCATACCTAATTTAATTGGCGTCCCATACTCGATTCCGTCTCTAAATTAACTTTCTCGTTGGTGGCGCTGTCCAGAATGACAAAAATAATAAAAAATAAGAGACTTGTGGCAAGTCTAAGGACACCCCTTCAGTAGACTTACTCTTTTAATAAAGTACAGTTTTTTTGTTTTTTTTACAGTTTAATTGATATGAAACAAAGTAGGCCTATTTCCAGTCGGATCCGGCGGATTTGGGTGGGAGGTGTGGCGCGTACGCCCCTCCCCTCCCCCCTCTATTTTTTTGCAAAGAAAAAATTACACCCACAGTGTTTAAGTCTTCTTTTCCTACCAAAAACACCCTAGGAGAGTGCTATTCATAAATCCACTTGGTGAGAATAGGAACACTTGTAATTTACTCAATGTTAATATACAGTAGCGGATTTTCTTGCCTTTTTTGACGACTTTTTCAACATAAATGGTATTTTCGTTAGATATTGTATTTGTGTATAATAATGAGTAGAGGAAATACTAAAGAGAATTTCATTATTTTATTTATTCGTATAATGCGTAAGGGAATTAAATGGTATTTTCATTATTTATTAAATTTTGTATAAATATAACCACATTATACAGATGTAAAAAAAGGAATACCAGTATCGTATTTTTCCCCTTTGGTGCCTAGAAAACCTTGACAATGGTGCGAGCTAAAATGGTATAAAACGAATTATGACCTAAATATTTTATCCCATCTTTTCTTCTTGTAGGCCTAGTCTGTCTCACTGGTCTAGGTAAACATTGTGCTTTTAGAACCACAATATTAGGAATTATAATCACAATCACAATAATTTTTGGTTGGATATGCAAATTAATATTTTAAGCCCGACGACGTCAAGTAATCACTGGTGCCTCAAGTGAGTTTACGCAAAATCTTCCCAAGAAGATCCTACTAATAAATTAAGAAACACTAAAAAACAGTAATCCGTTTTTACAAATGGTTTTAAATTTATTTTACTTTTACTTAGTGCAAATCACAATGCAACTATAAAATACTTATGCCTATTCTGAATTATCTCTTCAACTTATGGTTTGTAAAGGGTTAATTCTGCAATAAAATATTTATTGTGGAAAATGTTAATACGCAAAGGTAATCATAATATTTATGACAAAAGCTGTATTGAAAGTATAATCAATTGCATTAAATCGTAAGGCTATGAAGGTATAACCGTATAAGTTAAAAATATCATTATGTGTTCACAAATAAAAACCGGGTAGGGGAAGTGTGGGTGTTTCATTCATTGATTTTTATGAATTGTTTAATGTTCTTGAATCTGGTAATTTTTAGACATAATTCAGTCCTCAAAGATGCATTCTCTATTTTGTTCGCAAAGACAGCTATCAAAAGTTTCGACACTAATTTCCATCACAGCGCCACCACTGTCGCACTGGACTTGCATAGATGACCTTGTCGGCTGATATGGTCTGCAACAACCGCATGTCTCAGAGCGCGACACAAACATATCTTGAACCAGAATGCTCGTAGCCGATCTTGACGCACATTTCCCGCTACATTCGTCAATGGGAAACGTTGCCTCACACACCGATCCATTCTCCAATTCTAATTGATGTACCTTCTCCACTCGACGGTAGCGACAGTTTCCTGTACATCAAAGAATATTAAATTGTGTAAAACTTAGATTTTTTACCTCGATATTGAGGAAATTATTCTTAATTATTATTTTTTGAAATATGTACGTTGTGTTTGCAAATATTCTGTTACATCTTTAGCAGGGACTCACTGCGTCGTAGGACCGTCGGCTGACGAATTCAACTCCACTCCCATCTGCTGATTGTTGGTGACAGCCTGAAGGGATTGTCATAAGAACGATTCTTTGCGCACGCGGCGTAGCGTTGCGTTCTCCATAGAATCGCATAGGCCGACGACTGTCGGACACGCAATGAGTGCCTGTCTATAGATGTATGCCTATCAATGCAACTGCTCCCACACGACCAAACATTACTTATATGAATATCCATATTATTATCATACAATGGTTCTTTAAGGGCACATAGAAACAAAGTATTAGATTATCACTCTTTTTAAAAAAAAAATGACGAGGGCGGGAGGTTTTTTTTTGGGGGGGGGGGTCGGATTATACCAGAGGATTCCCGTGTGCATGAACAGAACTAACACGACATGCATTAAACAACTGCCCTGCGATTCAATGGCCTATCCAAAACTTTCTTTCTTGATGTCGTAGGTTAATTTTTGCCCAACAACAACCAATCCAACCAAACACACCCCTCACAGGAAAACAGCAACTTGTAAGCATTATGTAACAAGTTATTTTTAGCAGCCAGAGTCTCTGTGGAACATGTGAGTCTTCGTGCTGTGAATCAACGATCTGATCAGCCCACTGGGAGGTCTCTTTAAGGATGGACCACGGTGTTGCCTATTTTTTTTCCGCAGCTGTGGAACACACACGTCTACACGCCGTCAGCCGACTGGGCGGGTCTCTTTAGGGACGGACCGCAGTGTTGTCTATTTTTAACCTTAGCGAGCTGTTTATTTTTAGTGACAGTAAACAACCAAGTTTAAAGGATGGGTTTGCATTTTTAACTTTACGGCGATCTGAATGTCTGATCTAATTAATTGAAAGAGTTCGAATTCGGAGCCAATTTCTTTATATTTGTGAGCATTTGTTTTTTGCGAAGTTGTTTTTATGCAGTTATTAAAATAAATGATGCAACAAAAATAAATAAATAAAAAATAAAATTATTCCCGCATTAATATTTCCAAAATTGTTGACGCGGTCTGGAGTGATAATCTAATAAATTTTTCTATTTGCCCTAACGTAGAAAAAACGTTTCATTTGATAAACATGCATTTCAGCTCTCAAATGTATCTTAACGTGCAGTTGTTTTTTGAAGGTTTTTCAAGCGTGTAATTTCATCTTTTAGTGACAATAAAGCTTTTTCTGATTTCTGATGAAATTAGACCAAGATTGAATTTAATAATCTTGGCGGCTCAGCGCAACAGCGCACAAGGTATTTTCTCAATATATGGGCACTCGCAGGTAACAGTAATATCTTACTAATGATGCATCCTAGTATAAAGTTAAAAAAAAACAAATAAATATATAAAATATATAATGATGAATGATACACAGAAAACACTATCATAAGCAGAGAGCTCAATAGTATTCCAGAGCAAAATATTAAAAGTAAACTATGGGATTTAACTATAAGTTTGATTTAATTTGATTACTAAATAGTTTCATAAATGATGTGTCACTCTTCAGATAGAATTGCTTAATAAGCAATTCTATCTGAAGAGTGGTACATCGTGTCATGAAACTATATAAAATAATAATAATAATAATAATGTATAGATTGTTGAATCCCGTATTTTATTTTTACTATCACTACACTGAGTTAGTATAAAGAAACACAATCAATGTTTCAGTTTCACCACAGACAAGGCTCGAAAGTCACTTTTTTTAATTACGTGCTTGTGTATGTATGTATAAATTGGTATTAATTATTGTTAGTAGCATAAATATACTAAAATAATGATCACGAGAGTCTTAGAAAAATCTAACCTGATTTCCATGATAACGATGGCAAAACAGTTGTCTGCATTTCAGCCTCATAAGGATCTGTAAAAGAGAGCTTTCGATTGAGTATCGTACTCTGCTTCTTTAAAATAAAATGTATGCCCACATAATAATCAGCATCATGAAATTACCGTACTCACACGAATAAGCGCCCGGGAGCTTAACATTTTTTTTGCCCTTGTTTAGGGGTGCTTATTCAAATGGGTTGGAAATTCAAAACAAAGTGGAAATTGAGGGGGCGCTTATGGAAATATATGAAAATCAAGGGGTTCTTCTGGTAACGTGGAAAATTCAATGGGTAATTTTGGAATGAAAAAAATTATATAAGGACATCTGAAAACCAAAGATTACGAATGGTTATGGTGCAGAAAAGATAATCGTCCACAGAACATGGCTCGTGACAAAAATTCAGCAAATGAAATTAGTGGTGGTGATGGTGTATAAGCTAATTGAGATTAGCACTGTATCATTGCAGGGCTTCTTGCAAACTCGCATGAAAACGTGCTAAAGGTGCAAATTGTCGGGAAGAGAAAAATATATGTGGACAAATGTAAGAAGAGGAAGTTGGAAAGACACTGTCCATGGAGCTCTCATCCGTCCAGGATAAAATATCATAATTTTGAAATTGACATAAGAAAATGTGAATCCACTCCGCAGCTCAATTCATGCCAACCACAGTCTCAGGATTAGTTAGATTATCGTTTGCTAAAACAATCAATCACAAGGTATTATTTAAAAAAAGAATAAACACTGAGGGGCGCTTATTCAAACGAGGCGCTTAATCAAACAGGGCACCTATTCGCATGAGTAGGGTGATAACCATAATCTTTATCATCACTATAGATGTCTTTTTTGCGTAACAAATGACTGGCATATAAAAGAGTCTACCGAATGCATATGCAAAGATTGAGTTTTAATCAGATAGTCTATAAGACCAAAAAAAAAAAATTGTTTGTTTGCCCTCCTCCACCCGCCCTTAACTCACTGAAAAAATAGGGGGGGGGGGAAAACAAAAAAACTTAGTTATTTTCTTTAGATATTAAGAAAAATTTGAGTGAAATTTATCTTTATTTTTTGCCAGATGCCCTACAAATTAGTCTAAAGTTGTTGTCTGATGTAAGATATTGCCATTCAAGGCCTCTGTGGGTTATTTTTATTCCATCTGATGAGTATTTAAAAAAAATTAAAATATAAAAAAACCTTTTTCCACCCACCCTTATTTATCATTTTTTAAAAAAGAAGGGCAAACAAACAATTTATTTCATTTGGCCTAATTTGAATTTTCACGCTTCATAAATTTAGTCCATCATCAAATTTGCCACAGAAATTAACAGTTTAAACAATATTGCCTCAAGCCTACTCAGAGATACTGCACAACACAGAAAGAAATTGAAACAAATAATCCGAGAAATGGTAAAAAACATCTAAAGCGGGAATAACAAATTTGGCTGTTAAGTAGTAAATAAATAGTAGATATTCCTACCACAAAGCAGGCAAGCTCCGTTCTTAAACTGGAAGCCCTCAGTGCATCCACATCCTGATCTTTTCTGCCACGGTTCACACTCATCTCTGACTCCCAAACTACATCCAGAATTGAAGCATGTACATTCCATGAATTCAAATCCAGAAGGACACGTTGTATCTACATAAATAAGGTCAATTGTTAAGCATTTAACCTGAAATACGTATTTTGAATTAGACGGTTTCGATCATGATTCTATATAGGCCTATGTGACGTTGTTATACATGTTTAACACAAAATTAAGTAACGTTACCACATCCGACAGCTTTCCTCCAACTAAGGCAGGTAAATGATTTCTGTTCGTATTCAGCAACCATAGCACTTATCACAGAGCAAGCAAAACCTGGATTACAAGCGTCACCTTCTGAACACATAGCATAATATTTATCAATATCTATTACATCACGGCAAACATTAAACAAAGAGGTCTTGATGAAAGAACAAATACTTGAGCAGGAAACTATAAATTGAAGAAGAAATCATCATGTCACAACAAGACATAATACAGAATTTTAACATAATAACCAAAAGTACCTATACAATTGTGATGCATGTGTATTTAATATACCATTTTGTGGGTAAATTTTTAAATAAAAATCCACAATGACTCATGATAATTTCAAGTAAACTTGTACCATATTGTATTGCTTTCAGAAAGTGTAACAAAAATTATTTTTATACAGTATTACAATTAAACGCAGATAGAGATATATATCGCAACATTTTCATTGTCAAACTGTTGAATCCAACAGTATTCTATAAAGTAAAATGCAATACCGTTTTCAACATTATATTATTTACAGGTTTTGCTACGAGTTAATCGGTAAATGTGTTTGCAAAAATGCGATGAATTCGTTATTCAACGTTATTTGTTCACTAGACTAAGACAACCATTGTTTTGCACACATATGTACATATAGATTTTGGTCTACATGTCCATACTAAAGATACTATACAAGAGATTACTTTTATTTTTTTCAATTCAGTCAAATTGTAAATATCTAATGAACGTTGGAAGAGATAACACTTATACACACACGGAATATACATTGAATGTCACTTGGTATTTAAGTCGCATATTTTCATGTTAGATATTGTGTGATATTTTTTATACTGATTAAAATAATATAGAAAGCTGAAGGCGATTTTAAGAACATGTAGATACCTGTTACAGTAGTTGTTGTTCCACTGGTACCGCCACTCGTTTGTGTTTCCCCTGTAGTATCTGTTGATCCAGAATCAGTTTCATGGGTTCCGCTTGTTTTTCCACTTGCGTCTCCAGTCGTGTGTGTTTCTCCTGTAAAAACTGTTGAACCAGAATCAGTACCATCTGTTCCTGTTGCTGTTCCACTGGCACCTCCACTTGTTTGTGTTTCTCCTGTAGTACCTGTTGATCCAGAATCAGTTTCATGGGTTCCTGTGGTTGTTCCACTTGCGTCTCCAGTCGTGTGTGTTTCTCCTGTAGAAACTGTTGAACCAGAATCAGTACCATCTGTTCCTGTTGCTGTTCCACTGGCACCTCCACTTGTTTGTGTTTCTCCTGTAGTATCTGTTGATCCAGAATCAGTTTCATGGGTTCCGGTTGTTGTTCTGGTTGAGCCTCCTTCACTCGTCTCCGACCCAGCTGTTGAATGAGAAGTTCCGGAGCCTGTACTGTCAGTACCACTTGTTGTTCCAGAAGTGTCTCCACCTACTTTGGTTTCTTCAGTAGAACCAGTTGGGCCGCTTTCAGAACCTTCTGTTCCGGTCATTGTTCCAGCATCAACTTCACCTGGACCGACCATCGTACCAGAATCTGTTATTACATGTTGGCTACATAATTCAGCGCATATGAGTCGAATCTTATAGTTGAAACATGTTTGTCCTTCATTATTCGAACATCTTAAACCAAAGCTTGTGTCGCACTGCACAACTTGTGATGTCTCTGTCTCTTATACACATCTATAACCAAAAGTACCTATACAATTGTGATGCATGTGTATTTAATATACCATTTTGTGGGTAAATTTTTAAATAAAAATCCACAATGACTCATGATAATTTCAAGTAAACTTGTACCATATTGTATTGCTTTCAGAAAGTGTAACAAAAATTATTTTTATACAGTATTACAATTAAACGCAGATAGAGATATATATCGCAACATTTTCATTGTCAAACTGTTGAATCCAACAGTATTCTATAAAGTAAAATGCAATACCGTTTTCAACATTATATTATTTACAGGTTTTGCTACGAGTTAATCGGTAAATGTGTTTGCAAAAATGCGATGAATTCGTTATTCAACGTTATTTGTTCACTAGACTAAGACAACCATTGTTTTGCACACATATGTACATATAGATTTTGGTCTACATGTCCATACTAAAGATACTATACAAGAGATTACTTTTATTTTTTTCAATTCAGTCAAATTGTAAATATCTAATGAACGTTGGAAGAGATAACACTTATACACACACGGAATATACATTGAATGTCACTTGGTATTTAAGTCGCATATTTTCATGTTAGATATTGTGTGATATTTTTTATACTGATTAAAATAATATAGAAAGCTGAAGGCGATTTTAAGAACATGTAGATACCTGTTACAGTAGTTGTTGTTCCACTGGTACCGCCACTCGTTTGTGTTTCCCCTGTAGTATCTGTTGATCCAGAATCAG